TTTTGAAATTTCTTTCCTTTCTTCCAAAAACTAAAATTTATGTAATTCTTAACTTTTTCAGACATACGCTTTTCCAAGAAACATTACTAGAAATTATATTAAAATCCCAGTGGTTGTAGCCAAGATATCTCCTGTAAAAATAATTTCTGTGTTGGCTGTGAAACTAGTACACAGTTACACTATGTATATACAGTTATTCTATGGCTTAATATATGATACTTTTGTTGCAGACATGAACATTTGTTTGGGGATTGTTAAAGCAGAAGTTGTTAAATTCACAACTTAAAACATTTGTTTCCTGTGTTCTCACACACTCTTTATCTATTTCAGTTACCTAACAATGCAATATTACACTGTGATGATGCATGTAAATAGGCAAACTTTGCTACTGAAGGATGCCTAAGCACATTCCAAGAACAAGCACAGGGCAGAGTCCCAAATTCTTCCTCTACATAGCACAGAGCAGTCACTGGGCATATGGCACAAGGACACCTTGCAATGATGGGGACACAAGGCTGGAAAGTGAAGGTATCAGGCAGGAGCAAGGTCTGGCTGCTACAGCAAGGGAGTCAGGAGCTGAGGGTAAATGCCAGCCAGCCTGGGCACAGGTATGGCTGCTGAGCAGCTGCAACATGGCTCTGGCATGGGAAACAGGGACAGACTGCTGAAAAAGAGCTCCCCAGGGAAGGGGGACACCCCAGGCTTCTGGCTTCTCATCAGTGACAGAGCTGACCTTCAGCTTGTCCTACTAAGCACCTTAACCTATGGCACTGAGCCCCCAAACTTATTCCATTGAGGCCTCCATGAGAGGGTATGTATCCCGGGGTGCTGACAGAAATTAGGATCCTACTCAGATTTTTCACAAATGTTTCAGAGGTTCTGCCGGCTTTACAGGAGGTGCTACTCTTACATTTGGCCTTTTAATTTCCTTAGAAGAAGCACTGCAGCTTCAATTGAATTTTTTTTTTCATTTTTGGAGGGGAGAGGAGGAGGAACAGTTAAAATGACCTCGTTTCTTTACTTTAAATGTAAAAGCTACACTACATCAGGAAAAAGAAAAATGCCATTTCACATTTTAGAGTGTACATGTCACATGCCGTGACAAATCTCAAGTAATACTGACATTTTCAAGAGGCAAAGGTCTTGCAAGACTATATTATCCAGCAGCAAACTTTAGCATACCTACCATCTCAGGTAATTACTTTCCATTAAAAATGCAAGTTTAATTTTAAAAATTATTGCAAGAAGCAGGGGGGTTTTTTTCCAGTACTCTTCTGACAACTTGCCTACACTTTCAATAAACCTTATTTTATATATGTGTAGTTATAGAACAAAGAAATAGTAAGACCTCTGTGTTAATAATAGAAAAAATTTCTTTATGAAACAATATATCCTGTTCAGTGAATCAGAATGTCAGTTTTATTTACAAATATCTGAAATTATATTTCCCAGTTCAAATGAAGATGTGACAAGGGTTTCTCATACTCATTTTAATATTTGTGAGATGTAATGAGTTAAAACAAACTTTCCTTGAATTTTATTATATAACACATGTAGTTGCATTCTGGAAAATTATATTTTCATGTTTTCACACCTAGAGAGAGATGAGAATTAAATGTGTTCTCATAATTCATTTTTCATAAAGAAAATTCCCCTACCTCACTTGGATTTCTTTGTGAGCCCAAATTTTCTGAATATTTGTATTTGTACTGAGGTGTTTGGATATTGGAAGGAAAACGATATATTTAGAAGGTCAGTTCTGACTGCTCTTCAAAACCCCCAGTTATCACAGAAGTTTGTTTTGGTTTTCATATAATCAGTGTTATTTTCTTCTAGTGGGAATGAAAAAGAAACTCAAAAAAATTCAGAGTTGTCTTTGCAAACTCAGGGGCTGGATTATTTTGTGAAAAGATTGAATAGTGATGGTACTTACAAGGAAAAAGAAAATAGAAAAATAAATCCAAACCAACACTAACAAATAGAAACTGAGGCATTTGAGACCTAGCCAAGATCGACAGGTAATGTAAATCATGGGTCAGTTACCATCAGTTGAAGATGAGTCTGTTACCTTCATTTCAGTTGCTCATTTGTCAGCTGCCAAATTCACCCACTTGACTGCTCCAATATTCAGCTGAAAAATACTTACAGCTTAGTGTCATCACACCAGAGGAGATATACAAACAATCGTAATAATACCAAACTCTTTCCCATGCAACTTAGGCAAAGTTGACAAAATCTGCTATATCTAGAGGTGTGCGTGTCTCGTGATTGGGAATAAAATTTTTAATGAACTGTGGTAACTCTCAAAGTATATATTGTTTTAAAGAATTTGTAAGTCTTGGGCACTTAGCAAAAACCCTATGATAGCTCCCAGAGAAATGATATTTGACTGTACAGCTAACAGCATGAGGTCAGTTAGAATCAGTACCTCAGCTTTCGTCACCACTGAAGCTCAAATAGAACTGGTTAGATTTTCAGAACCTTCTCTTGTAGGTTAGACTACAGACCACAGCTAAACTCTCTTTTCAGGTGTTTTAGTCCACACAGGCAATTAATGAGCTAGAGGTTCAGGCGTTGACTTCTTCCTCCTTATCCTACTTTTGCAGACAAGCCCTTTCTGAACAGAGCCACAGGAACACAGATTTGGATAATCTCCAAGGTCAAAGCACTCCAGGCACAGTAGGGGTGCAAGAGTCTCTAAAGGCAAGAATATCAAAATAAAAATTATAAAAAGGATTGTGTTTCACCAAACTGTTCTGCAATATTTCCAACAGGAAACTCAAGGGAACACCTGAGGGCAAAGAATAGAAATGATCCACAATGGTGAAGCTCTAGTAGTTTGTTGTAAAACATTCATAGGTATGTTCTATGCAAAAGGTTTACAAAAGCTCTAAAACATGTCCACCATTACAAGGGAAAGTTTTATGATGTCGGCAAACCCCCGTCAGTACATCTGTTTGTTCTGTTTTACTGAGGCTTTGTCTAAGGAACAGGATTTATACCCTCTAAGCTTATTATGAATTTGCTGTATTTGCTAAATATTCACAGCTAAAACCTGTATGTTTATTCTTTGAACTTGGAGTTCTTTTCAGATAAAATCTCAAGAGGTTTTTTACTAGCTATGGTTTACCTTCTGATGTGATAACAGTGAATTTGTGTCACATGTATCCCAATAGACATGTTCAAAGAGAAAAGGTTTTAGCTTGGAAAGAAGCAGAAAAAACTAGTAAAGAAAAGAATATATGCTAAAATGGAGAATGAAACAAAAGTCAGAAAAGGAAAAAAGTTCATTTAAGGATTAGTAAATATTCCCTTCTGCAAATGGAGAATGTATACTAAAGATATGGAGAAGTATACTAAAGATATGGAGAAGTATACTAAAGATATGGAGAAGTATACTCAAAGCCTAAGTCCTACACTGAAGCAAGCTATAGCATGTTCAGTTATACAAGGTACAGGGGGCAAAGTTCACTGCTGTGTTGCACTGCAGGTTGGTAAGAATAAACGACCAAAAAAGCTATTTCTGTGTTCTGGCAGAACTGGGTCCACTCTTGCACTATGACTTGCTTATAGGGAAGCAGAAGAAGAAGTAGGTAATCCATTTTCTGCTTGATGTCAGTTGTACGGTGGTTGAACCTTTTCCCAGAAAACTTGTTAGTGTTTTGTCTTGGTGCCAGTTAAGATGTTTCTTCACAAAATATCTTCACCTCACTGAAATCCATTCTTACTGAAAGTTCAGAAAGAGAGTTAGAGTTTGAATAAGGTCATTATTGCTCAGTGAAAGTTGTCCTTGCAAAGGTGAAAGAAGCACTTTGTTCATTTCAGAGATGTTTTTTCTCTGTTTCGTTACCTCTCTATTTTTTTGTTTCATAGTACCTTCTCAGAACTTAGCATTTTGGGAAATTTCAATATGATCATTGCTTTTTTATTTTAGCATCAAAATAAATACTTAAAATAAAAACTGTAAATTTGAGATTAGAGTGTTTAATTTTACAAATAACATATCTTAGTCACTTACTTCTGACTGATCTTGAAAATGCCATTTGAAGAATTTTTTTTAAGTGTCTGTTAAATGTGATTTTCCCAAGTGTTCTTTGTCTGTTTTCAAGTGAGCCTTTCTTTGCAAGTAATTAAAAAAAAAAAAAAAAACACAACAAAAAAAACACCAAAAAACAAACCTTCACATTTGTTCTGTTTTGAATTCAAGTATTTGTCTCTGACCTTTGCTAAAACTTGTAAAATCACAAGGAGATAAGCATGAAAGAAATCATGTGCTGTTCAAGTACTTAAAGTCCAGAGAAATGCACTGAAGTAGAAAGGGGATTAATAGAGGAAGGAGGGTGAGGCCAAGCCATACTGTGTTGGTAGAAGAAGGATTAGCAATCAGACTGAACCAGGAGAGAATTTAGCCGTGCTTATTTTGGGTGAGACACAGCCGCAGGACGTGCAGAGGTAGAGCAGGATCTCAGCAGTGGAGGGATACCAGGAAGAGAGAACAGGTACAATGCATGCAGCAGTGTAACTTCACCTTTTGATCAAGCTGTCATTCGAAAACAGCAAGGGAATACAGAGGAGAACTGCGGAGTGTAGAACAAGATGCACTAGTTTAATTCAGAAAAGAAAGGCGTGAACTAGGGGGAGGGGAGGGAGGGTGAAAATAAAAGGTTCAGAAAACTGGTGCCTTAATCTAGTTTTAGCATGTTGTGATAGTGAAGCAAATCTGACCGGCAGGTGTGCATTGTGAATGAGCAATTCGTAAGAACTTAGAAGTCAATGAGCAAATATATATCTATATAGTTACTGTATCTCGTGCAGGTTGTTAGAAGAGAAGAACATTAGCATCTGTGGTTAGAATTGTTTGCCTTTTCAGACGGTGTATTGAAGTGTAGAGTTAGAAGGAATTTTCTGGCATGGAAGGGGTAGCCTATGGGAGATTTGTATTACTTGTTTTCATTCTGCTCTCACTCTCTTTCTCTCTCTCTTTCTCCCTCTCTCCATAGAGGGACCTGGGTGTCCCATCCACAGGAGAGGAAAGTCAGCGTGTGTGGACAGCCAGCTCTTGAAACGAGCCGGCTCTGCTTGACCTGCTGTCATGCAGATCCCCACGCTGCTCTTCCTTTCTCTGCTACCACTTAGCATGTTGGACCAAGCTGGAGCTCAGTTCCCTCGTCAGTGTGCAACTGTTGAGTCCCTGAGGAGCGGCATGTGTTGCCCAGACTATTTCCCTGTGTTCGGGCCAGGTACTGACCGGTGTGGTGTGTCCACGGGAAGGGGCCGGTGTGTGCAGGTGACTGCGGATTCACGCCCACACGGCCCACAGTACATCCATGATGGGCGGGATGACCGTGAGCAATGGCCCATTCGCTTCTTCAACCAAACCTGCCGGTGCAATGGTAACTTCTCTGGCTACAACTGTGGGTCATGTCGTCCTGGCTGGACTGGACCTACCTGTAGCCAACAGATTAATATAGGTAAGAGCATCAGAAATATGAGATGAAAACTGCCTTGTCAGCACTTGTTTCTAAATGTATCTGGCGTGTTTCTCTTCTTTAAAATACAAAATATCTCTTATATTTATTTAGCAATGTTATGTTGATGTAGGATCTATTAAGGCAGGTGCTATATGAGCTGTACAGCTTGTGTATCTAGTACTTACATTTACTACCCCACAAAAGGAAGAAATAAAACCTGTAGGCAATGTAGGATTAGTACCAAGTCCATTAAAGGATAGAACATCTAAGCTAAAAAAAAAATAAAAATAAAATAATTATTTGAAATTACATAAGAAAATAAATATATATTTTTAGAATTATTTAAAAGTAAAGCAATGCATATAGACATGTATATGTGTTTGTGAGTATGTCTGGGAATAATACTATGTTTAATACCTTATGACTACTTTAAGTAGTAGTGACAGCAGCTCTTTTAATTCAGAATTTCTTAATACATTTCTAAACTATGTATCTGGCCTTGTAAATTTTTCCTTACTTAGTTGCTGTCAACATCTTTAAAGGTATTGAGTCACAACTATGAACTGTTCAGATGAACAAATGAACCTTTCTGAGAGTTCTTCAGTTTCAGTTTAGTCCCGAATATCAGTAAACAAATGTCTAAAATTTTTTGAAATGGATATGCAATCCTTTCAGGAAAAAATGTTGAATACTGTAGGTAAATTGAAAAAGACAAGAAGGCTTGGGGAGAGATCCTTATTCTCAAGTCAAAACCATCTGAATGAACAAGGTTTCAGCCTTTATTTTCAAACTTACACACTTTTAATTTTAAAAGTATTATTGATATCCTTTAAAATCCATAAATCCTCAAATGAGATATGGGTTCTGTTGACATGAGAAACAAGAGTTTTCTAGCACAAACGTGCAGTGCAGAAACAGACATCAGCGCTGACATTGTTTTCACCAGATAGAAAATGTTCCATGAATATGAGTGCATGTTCCAACAATGGCTAACAAAGCACTGCTTACTAAATCAAAATTTTAACAACAAGATTTCTTTAAAAAAAACCTCTGTGGGCTGTAGGAAAGATCTTAGGAATTTTTTTCATCCTTTGAACTCCAAGAAGCAAGTTAGAAAGCAGAAATTATGACTTGTGTCTTGGATCTGCTAAGCCAGGTTGTACTCTCTGGTGTTCTGGCCCATTCTGTATTACAATGATGATAACTGAAGGATAACAAAGAAACAAATGTTAACATGTACAAACCTAGCAATCTAAATCTAGAGACAGGCAAAAAGCAGTTTTTGTATATTTTCTAGGGTATACAAGACCACTTTTCATTTTTCTTTCTTATTAAATCCTTTACTACTCAGTAAAACCCTAAGCAAATCAGATATATCACGCATAATAACATGAGTTTAAAAAGAGTAAAATAGCTTCTTACTATACTTTAAGTTTCCCCATGGAAGTCGCCTCTTTTGACCATTCTTAGCCATGGGTTTATCTGCTCAGAGTTTAAAAATAATTACTGGATTACTGTTGGCATATCCATATTAAATAGTTTTAAGATGCAGTTTGGTGTCTTCAAATCTTCTCAATTCATGACTAATTTTAACAATAGTCACAATTATTTCTTGTGTTTCAGGTATATACTTTGAAAAAGAAAAAGGTTAAGAAGCATACATAAATCAAAATTAGATGGACATTTGTAGTTCACTACTTAAAACACCCCCAAATAATTCTTCAGTGATGAGGGCTAGCATATCACTTCAGTTCTGCAAAAAAGAAAAGCATTTCAGGATGAAATGAAATTCATGTTTCACAGAAGTATTTATTTAAAGTTCAAAAAAATCAAAATATTCCCCACCCAATCAAGTTTATGTAGTGAAACGGAATGCACTTGTATTCTTCAAGTAGATTCATGCTGAAGACCTGTTGCTTCATGTGTCAACATAATCTATCACTCATTTGGACAATCACTGATTTTTACAGTATTTTTTATAATGAAAATAAGTACACGTTGAAGAACAACTGTGAGGACTTCTGCCTGCATCTTAGTCTAAACTTAGACCGAAATCTTCTCAGACCAGATGAAAGAGGGGCTGAGGTGGTCTGAACTCTGTTCTACTTGCTGAAATACTGGTATTTCAAAGAGTCAGTTTACTTCCTTGTTTCACTTTCTCTATGTGGATAACAATATTTTTAAATTATTTTGAGTATATTAGTAAAAAGGACTAATATATGGCTACTGTTAATAAAGTCATGTAATGACATTAAAGAGACATATTGTACTGTGATAAATTCACAATAATTCACTGGTGAATATCCCATTTTTCCTACAAAGGTTCAAGCATAAATGATGCACTTCTCTACTATCTTGCCAAACATCAGAATTTCTGATTATTATAAATTGTTTTATAGTATTCATTTCTTGTAGAGTACTACCATAGGAAACCTTACATATATTGGATGAGGTTCTGAAAGGTTTGTAGGACAAAGCACTTTGTAATTACTCTGACAGAATGGGAAGATAATCTGCAACAGTACTTCTAAAAGCACTAAAATCTCAAGGTTTGAGGCTTTATTTTTATTTGTTTCAACCTTTCTCATGATAAATAACTTTTGCTATTTATGCTCAGTGAATTGCCCCAATTAAAAAAAAAAAAAAAAAAAAAGAAGATGAATTCTTGAAGAAAAAGGGACTTACACAGAGATATTAGGAACACAATAAATTAGTTCTGTGGGTTCAGATGAGTAACTTTGGTAATTTGCTTCTTCTCTATTATCACAGTCAGAAGGAATCTTTTGGATCTAAGTGCAGAAGAAAGGAATCGTTTTGTGAATGCCTTGCACCAAGCCAAGGTGACAATCCACCCTGACATTGTCATTGCCACACGAAGACGTGAAGAAATATTTGGACCAGATGGCAACACACCACAGTTCGAGAATATCTCCATTTATAACTACTTTGTGTGGTCTCATTATTATTCTGTCAGGAAAACTTTCCTTGGTGCAGGGCAGCAGAGTTTTGGAGGAGTTGATTTCTCTCATGAGGGACCAGCTTTTGTCACATGGCATAGGTACCACCTATTGCAGCTTGAAAGAGACATGCAGGTGAAGTTCATATTACTGTTGAGTCATGTGTTCATGCTATGTTTTGTACAGTTAAATAACTTCTCTCTATATTACAATAAGCAAAAAAATGATAGCAGCTTCTACATTATGAAATAATTCTGCTTCAATTTCAGCAACTCACTGGGTACACTGAATTTAATTAAGTGCATTTAGATTTTAGACAGTCATTTTTATAGTTTCTAAAAATAATATTTTAATCAGAGTAATTACATAAAAATCTCTCGTAAAAATAGATACAAGTTCTATATATATCTATATAAGACATTTTATTGCACCAACAATATTATTTCTGGTGGTATTTTTAATCTAAAGGTCATGACTCTTGAATAAAAATGACCAAATCATCAGAAATTTTACAGAAAGGGAAAACAGAGATGGTTTGGGGATTCAGAATCATATTTTGTTTGCGTAACTGGTTAGAGAAATTAATGTTTTGTTATACCTTGTTCCATAAATCAGCAATTCTCTTGTTTCCCTTCTCTTATGCAGGCCTATCCATAAATAAAATATAGCATTTTATGGACCATCATCCTTCTTAAAAAAACAAGAATTAGGTTTTCAAGGTAACGATTAAATAGTGCCTGAAATAACTGCAGTGTTTTCATCAGCTTTAATGGCTTTACTTTAGACTGAAGCACAAACTCCCTTCCAAAGTTTATATTTGACATCAGTGTCATTTCACTATGTGGAAGACCTGAGAGGTTCTACCTCTTTGTGATTTAACATATATTCCTATTTATGTCACTAGACTTGATCATTAGTTAAAGTAATTTGGTTTACCATCTCCACAACTGCTCAACTCCAACATGTACTGGAACCAAACCATGACAATTTGAAGAGCCAATACCCCTGTTCTTTACTTTTCCATCAGTCATTCCACAGTTGTCTTAGTTATTGTGTGCTACAAACACTGCTCTTCCTCACAGGCCATTAAAAATATTTGGAAAATGGGGTCTCAGCATAAATTTCTTTTTCTTACTATTCACAGTATGGTTTCATGGAAGACGTACTGTCTTATTAATGAGGGAGATCCATGACTCAGTTCAGTAGTCCAACCATCTGTTCTGTTGAAAAAGGCATCAACATGAGAAACTACCAAAAGGTTTTACATAAATTTTTCATAGAGTTCCTCTCCTCTATGAGGCAATCTTCTGACTCTTATTAAGATGTATTTAACTGTTTTTAACATCACTCTAGCAGTAAATATTATAGCTGTCTGCATCACATGTGTAATAACACTATATTTATGTGGTTTAGAACATGCTACAGGATCCTAGTTTTGGACTGCCCTACTGGAACTTTGCAACAGGACAAAATACTTGTGATATCTGTTCAGATGACTTGATGGGAGCTAGAAGCAATTTTGATGTCACTCTTATCAGCCAAAACTCAATCTTCTCTCAGTGGAGAGTGCTATGTGAAAATGTGGAAGACTATGAAACTTTGGGAACCATCTGTAACAGTAAGTATGAATGATGGAAGACATCTGGAGAGAAAATCCTCTTAATAATAAATAAATATAGTACTTTACAATGCAATGGCTTTTCCCAGTGAAAAAGTCTTAAAGTGGTTTTTTAATATTCTTAAATATTCTTAATATTTATAAAAGAATATAAATACATAAAGAATATAATAGTAATATTTAATATTCTTAGTCTTTAATATTCTTATGATACATGTCCCATCATCTGTCTTGCACCGAGACACCAAGTAGTTCAAAATTTGATCAGGAACTTGTAGCAGAAGAAGAACAAAATTCTTTCCTTCTCTTCTTGTGGAGTATCTGTTCAGCTCCTGCACTATAAATGACTAAATCTGATAGTGTAATTTCTTAAATGAAGCTTAAGTGTTCTTCTGACTACTCCACTTATCACCTTCATGGCATTCTGCACCTAAAATGCAAACACCTAACAAATCCCCATGTTAACTATGTGAAGCATGTTTGAATGTGAGTAATATTGGATTCTAGCACACCTACTCAAACTAAAAAAGTTTAAAAAATCCCAGTTGATTTCTTGTACATTCATCACCCTTAAGCCACAACTCAGCATTGTCATGGAAATAGGGGACAAAAATAGGAAAAATCCTACAATATTGGGTTGGTCATACACATAATCAGCTATAGTCCTTTCCTCGGCTACTCTGTCAGGATATCCTCAAAAGTTGTCCTCCATCTCATCAGGAAATCACATTGAAAATCTATAGAAAATTTCCCCAAAGCACTTAGAGAACAACAAACTTCCGTAAGAGGCCTCTAGATGTTTTTTTACATCCTGGTACAAACATTCCAGAATACGGGACTACATGAAGATTCTTAGCCTGACACAAGGAACTGACCCATTCAATCAGTGTAAAGTCATTTGTGAGGGATTTTTTTCTCCATGGTTCAGTCATGCAAAGGATACTTTCTGTGTATTGTTTTCTCTCTTCTCTCCATCCCCAGGCACTGAGGGTGGTCCCATCCGAAGAAATCCTGCTGGAAATGTCGCACGACCCATGGTACAGCGTCTCCCAGAGCCTGAGGATGTTGCCCAGTGTTTGGAAGTTGGTGTATTTGACACTCCTCCTTTCTATTCCAATTCAACAGACAGTTTCCGTAACACAGTAGAAGGTAAACATGGCAAACAAGAAGACCTGTAACAACTCCAAACAAGGCAAGAAGCAGGCTTGCCGTTATTCCTACTGGAAGTATGAGTTTGGAGATGGGCTATTGGACACTAAGAACACATTGTTCTTGGCATTAAGTATTAGCTTAGTATTAAGTGGAAATAAGCTCTGGCTAAATTGCTTTATAGCCATAGCTTGTGTCTCTTAAAATGTGTAAAAGCCTCAAAAATCTGTTGATGGCATACTAAGTAGAAATGTGCTGAAATCAAGTTCTTGAAACACAGTTAATAGGTTGTTGTTGATGGGCCAGGGAAAAACTCCCCCGGGCAGATGGAGCTCGTCAGCCCTGTAAGGCCATCCATCTAAGAGAAGGTCACTCTAAACAAAAACCTACGTCCTGAGGACCTCACTGCCACTGTCCAAGCTTGCTCGGCCCCAGCAGATGAACCTCAGGATTAAAGGGTGGGTTCAGTTCAGCGCACACTGTGTCTCACCTAAAAAATCCACTGCGCAGGCTCGAAGGGTTAATTACCTTTCCCAAATCTTCGTTCGCGAAGACTGGCCATACATACAGTTGTTGGAAATAGACAGTCCTTCCCTGCAGATTGATTCAGCTGCATCTTTAAATGAGGGAAACATGTGCTTCTAGCAGCTATTCTTGTATCTGAATTAAAACAAATAAAAGAAAGCAAAATAAATTTTAAGCTTTGGTAGTATTTACTGCAGTTGTATTGATGTCTGGGTAGAGGATTTATTGCTAAACACGCTAGTCCTACTCTCTGGGCCATATAACTCTGTTCTTCTATAAGCTTTACACATTTAAAATTAAATTTTCAGTCACTGATATCTGAACAGACATCCCCCCAACAGAGAAACTAGCATAAATATTTGATTTATACTGTTCAGCCCATATCCTGAAACTTCTGTACTTTAATAATCCCTATTTTGTAACAGGAAGAGATTATAAAGTGACAGTTCAGACTCCTGCCAGACCTCCCATAGATACTCTGTCCCTTTTAAAGAAGCGTAACTCCTACTACACGCAGGATCTGCTCCTTTTTCTTTCTCTTGAAGAACAAAACCAAGAAAATGCACCAACCTTCTTAGTATATCTGAAAGTTCTGAATGCTTACCAAGTCTGACAAATGGGCTATCAATACCTAGGTATCTAAATACGGCTTTAGCCAATTAACTGTATGTATCCCCCTCTGGAAAGACTGGCCAAAGCTTGAAAACAGGAGGACTTTTCATGATGTTTCAGATCCTGACATCTGACACGAGGTATGATGTTTTGGGCACTAACAAAGTTACAGAGGCACTATCTTCACGGAAAAAGTGAAAGCGGAGCATGTGAAGCTTTCTGACATGTATTCCCAGTACACATGGAAATGATGTATGGAAACTTAACAGCTGGCTCATTAGAATAGATGAGAAAACATACCCACTTTAGTCAGCAAATAGAAAACATGTGCAACTATTTTAGTTATGCTGAAAGATATATTAGGGCCTAAATATATACCTTTACTTTCATGCTATGATGTGGTTTATTTTGTCCATTTTTCCATTAGATCCCAGCAACCTTGCACTCCATATTGTCAGCATTCTTTTGTAAGGGCTATTTTAATCTGAAAATATGCATGCTAGGGACATTTCTCAAATGCCAGTAGGTAAAGGATTAGCTAACCATTTATTTTAAGCAAGGTAACGCAACAACTCGAAACTCTCTCAGAGAAAAAAAGAAATGTTCATCTGCAAATGCAGATTCCAAGCAACATTATCACAGGAATTTTTTTGTGTTACTCCTTTTTTGCATATTCAGGGTACAGTGATCCTTCTGGAAAATATGATCCAGCAGTTCGAAGTCTTCACAACTTGGCTCATCTATTTTTGAATGGAACAGGAGGGCAAACTCATTTGTCACCAAATGATCCCATTTTTGTCCTCCTGCACACGTTTACAGATGCTCTTTTTGATGAGTGGCTGAGACGGCACTCTGCAGGTAAGATGTTCTCACAGACAGAGGCAGGGTGGGTGGTTGTCAGTGTAACCTGGAAGGACATTCCACTATTTTGTGGATGAAATATTTATGTTTCTTCTTGTCAAAGAAGAACAGATACCATGTAGATTCATTTTTACCACATCTGTGATATACTACCAGTATTCAATAACCATCTGCATATACTTCTAAGGGATGATCACTGTTGCAGCTCTTGCTTCTTTAACTCCCAAAAGAATACAGAAACGTAATAAGGGTGAAAGTGAAAGAGATGGGGAAAGGGAGAACAGAAGGAAGGAATTTAAAGGAAGGAAGGAAAAAAAAGAAATAAAGAAGGAAGGAGACTGGTGTCAGTGTGCTAGGGGGAGAATTCTGCATAACATTTATGTCCATGCGTCAGTCTGCACAATGCAGCAACTGTATTCCTCTTGGAATAATCCATCCCCCTCTTCCTTCTTCTATAGAAGACAGCTGTTGTTGCACAACTGAGACTTCTTTGTGTAGTTTCCACAACAACCTGCCTCATGTAATTTTCCCACATAGCTCTCAGAGAGCAATTGTATCCCCTTGTGGTACTTGCATGAACTATCACAAGGTTTTGCATCATCTTACCAAGGTGAACTTTCTTTTTTTTTTGTCCTTTTTTGCTGGGGGTTGGTTGGTTGGTTTTACTTCAGCTTTCTTCTGATTTAACAAATTGTTGCAAAAGAATTCCACTGGAACTTACATTAGCTGTCTTCTGGAACTGGATGAGAGAGCTGCTCACCACTGTTACAATCAGGCAAAACTAGAATGTAGAAAAAAGCCTTTCCCAGTCCTCCATGTATACATATTTCTCCTTTTCCACGCGAGAAGAAATTAAAAGCCCAACATGGGCAGAAATTTTTAGAATTTATTGGTGGTTTCCATTAAAAGAAAAGAGATATCATTAGTGATCTTTCTTTTGCACAGTGCAGAGCCCTCTGCTCTGTATGCATTGCACTGGAAAAACAATCCTCCTGGAATAGCTTAGGTTAGAAAGAAAAAAATGAGGTACTCAAAATCCTGAGTTGGAAAAAAAAATTAAATAGGGCAAGTTACTTTAATTTTGTTTACAGAAATGTGATTTGAATTTAAAATTTAGATATCTCAACATATCCACTGGAGAATGCCCCTATTGGACATAACCGACAGTACAACATGGTACCTTTCTGGCCTCCAGTTACCAACAATGAAATGTTTGTTACTGCACCAGAAAACCTGGGATACAGTTATGAAGTCGAGTGGCCAGGTAATCTGTAATATCTAGATACTTTTTCTTCCTTTTTTTCTCATCATGTCTTTGTCCCTTTAAGTTTATGCATCGTATAACAAAGTTATTCAAATTTCACAAACAACACTTGTTGTCTTTGTAAAGGTCTTTTTCTCCTTTCTGCCTCACCTTCCAAATGTGTTTTTGGCATTTAGTGTAGGTACTGATCAGAGATCGTTTCAGCATGAAGTTCCCACTATCCACTTCAATTCTGGGAGAATTTCTCATTTGGATCTTAATCTTGCAGAAGGTCCTTATTCCTATACCATATGCCTTCATTAAATCACAACAGAGAATGCGAATGCAAATGCCTCACAAACCAGAGGGAAGAAGAAAAGTGCAGAACTGGCTTTAGAGTGGAACAAGACAGACTGAATTTCCTCACATATTATCAAACAAAATTTAAACAAGTTCTATTCCACAACTCACTGAATAATGACAGATGCTGAGCTTTGGTTTGTCCCCGTGATGTTTATCCATATACTTGACATTTACTTTTAGTAACTGTCTCTTTCTTTTTTCTTCCTGTAGGTCGGGCTCTCCGTGTCACAGAGATGATAACTATAGCAATAGTGACTGCACTGGTTCTTGTTGCAATTATCTTTGCTGCTGCTGCATGTATTGTACGCGTCAAGAAAAATAAGGATGAGTTACATCAGCCTCTTCTTACTGACCAGTATCAGCACTACTCAGATGATTATGATGGTGTACCAACACCAAGCCAGTCTGTTGTTTGAAAAGATGTCACCTTTTTGCATCTGACTGAAACTGTTTATTTTTGCTGTATTTCATAAATGATGGTCATCCATCTGCTTTAAAATAAAGAGCATAAACCACCAGTTGTCTTGATATGTTTGCTTCAGGCTTCACTTCCTCTTTAATCACACTTAGGCATCAATAAGTCACCTTTGCAATGCAGATTCTGTGTTGATTTTAACAGAATTCTTCAAGGACCACGTGCAAGCCTTTCCATGCATATTTCTGTAAAATCTGGTAAAATTTAGTTGACTTGACAACAGCAAATGCCATCTGACTTCACTTAACCTTAATATCCAGAATTCTTTTATGAGGTACTTTTGTGAAAAGGTCAAGTCTAGAACAGGACAGAAGCTCAATACAAAGTACAAGTAGACACCCTAAGTGTCTACTTGTGCCTAAGTGACTAGAAATGTGTTAAAAAGTACGATAGACACCTTGGCTTAGTGAGTAGAAATGTGTTTCAGTATAACCAGCATGCCAGGCATGGAATTAAAATGGAATTCTGAGGGGAACAGTATATTTGAAATCAACTTTATTCACAAAACACAGTTTTGAACTTATTGCTGCTTTTATGTTGATCTGTGAAAACAGATTCACAGTTGAAGCCACTCCAGTATTTGGACACTTCAGCACTAGGTTCAAACATAGCTACCTGAAAGTGCATTCATTTGAAAGGACAGCTTTATTTTTATTTATTATTTTATTTCCTTTATTTTTATTTTCATTTTTCAATCTCATTCCCCTTCTCTCTCCCACTCTCCCTATGGCAGTGCATTTTTCCCAGCAATAAGAGACTTTGCCTCAGTTGTCTCATGCTGGAATTTAAACCCACTCTTGTGCTTTGAAAGAAGGGCCTAGGTGTCAGGTTGGAAAAATAGTCTTAAGCAGCTGCTGTTGAATTTATTCAACATAAGCCAACAGGAGTGTAACAAACTGATTCCTGAGCTAGGGCTTAAGAAATCTGGCTTTAAGCCTCATGTCCTCTCTCTCATCATAACTGAGTACCAATTAATCATCTGTTGTCCTTCTATGATGTCTTATTGAATCTAATTTAGCAGTCCTTAGCTGGCATACAGAGATGTTCCTGCTTTCAGAATAATGAATCCCACACCATGCACTCAGACTATAAAATCAAAAAGACCCTTGTGTCTCTGTCTGAGACCAACATCAATAGAAATGGTAAGAGCTCCTTCAGTCTGAGGCAGCCCTCCTAGACAGTAAGCTGCTAGGCAGAAGTAGGGTCACATGCTGTGTTAACCCCAGCAGTTTCAGTGAGTACCAGCTGTGCTCAAGGCCCACATACTCAGTTGCAAGGAGATACAAGCTTATACATTGAGAATGATGTAAGTAGGAAGACAACTACTCTTGGCTAAGCAAGTGGTAGATGGGTTATTGTCTTATTTTACCAAGCATGAGGTACAGACAGCAACAAAAATTTACAAACATAATTGATACTTAAGAAGAAAAATTTCGCTTGTGGCACTCATGGCACAAAAGCTAATTAGGCAAAGGTATTTTATGTTGTGCTCTTGTTTTTACTTACAGTCTAGCCAATAAGTACCTCACATACACAAGCAGCAGCTTGTGTTCCAACTTAGATGTCTTTTCCTGCCATTCTTTCTTGTACTGAGCAGCAATTTATCAAGTCATCCACTTTGCTGATTTCAACAGATTAAAGCAGGGTAATACAACATATTTTGGATTGGGGTCAGGAGACCTGAATTTTATACTTAGCTGTTACTGACCTGATGAAAGTTCTTAGCTAGCAGATTTTTACCTCTGTGACTCATTTGACTCATCTATAAAGTGAAGATAATAGAGCTTCTTTTCTAAAGTGTTTTTACTTCAATGGATAAAAAGAAGCATACAGAAGCTTGAGAGGAGAAGGAAAATATCAAGATGAAATCAGATTTTGAGATGAGGTTGTTAGTCATTAAAACTGTTCAATCCTTAAAGCAAAAGCATACATTCGTGTTTTGAGCAAGCCACAAGTCTTTAGGGTCAGAGACTGAGAAGAACTGCCTGCTAGTTAGAGCTGCCACACATAAATGAAGGAAGAAAGGTAGATTTTTATTACAGAGTTAAAAGAAAAGGAACAGCAAGTGGAGGAATCAGAGAGGCAAGGAAGGTGGAGAACTGTGTGCTTGACCCATTCTTGATAATAATCTCACAAGTCCTTCTTCTTTTGGTCACTATTTGCAGTACTCTCAACTATGTCTGAGTATGGAAAAGAAGTTCCTGCCATTCACTGAAGCTGCCTAGTGCTTTTTCCTGACATGGAAAATCTGGTTTAAGTTTGAAATCTGAAATGTCCAGTACATGAGAAAATTAAGAAAAATAAATAAAGACCAGAAAATTGAGTGTGTGATAACTATAATCTTTAAATTTTTCTATGGAGGCAAACCCAGGTAGGAAAAATTACAAAAAAAGGAAGAGAGGAAATGAAAAGCTTAAAAAAGGTATTAACTGAGAAGTCCTAGATTCAGCAATTCTGAAGCATGTGATGTCACTTTTACCCATGACTTTTCCTCCATGTTCTTCTCATGAAGTCTTATTCTTATAAGGGTTGTATAAGACAGCTGTAAAGAATACCCAGAAATGTCGAAAAAATAGAGCTAAATTCATGGCGAACTGGCGACCATGACCCACTAAGGAAAAACTGAAAGGAGCCTCTGATTTGGATACAATTACACATCTTCAAAGTTTTGTCAGACAGGAAATCTCACACGAATCAGAATTGTGAAATTTATGTAAAATTTGGAGACTACTGATTAAGTATTGATAATTATGCTAAGGGAACCAAAACTCATGGATCTAATTGGTGGTAGGCCCTGTTTCCAATCATAGTTTTTGGCCTAATATTATGACATATTGATATTCTTCTGACTTAGATTGTAATGGCTGTGTCACAGAAAACCAAAAACAAACACAACAATTTAGGCCTCTTAGGTACCTCCTACGACTGGGGATTTTAAATACTTTTTACATTAACTTGCCTTCTTAGTTGTCTATCACGGTCTGAGTTTGGCTTTCGTAATTTATTTCTCATATAAAAACAAGTTAGTAGGTAGTAACTAGTGAATTCAAATAATGACACAGTAATCAAAATTCTCTCCAGACAACATTAAATGAATAGAGGTTTTGAGAATATTCAAGAGAGGAATGGAACTAAGATCAGGAATTTTAGAAACAAAAAGAAGGTTGCAAAGCTGCATCTGACCTTGGAAAGGAAATATTGAAAAGTTCTTTAACCATATAAATGAAAATATAATAAATGCAGAGTCAAGATTTGCATGAGACAGATACATTTTTCTGTGTCAGTGAGAGTCTATCTCTGTTTCCAGTAAGAAGAACTATGCTGATCTTGTACAGAAAGTGTTAAAGGCTAAGGAATGATAGACAGAAATTGCCTTACAAGACAGAAACTAAACAATATATCTAAGTCAAGATAATTTGTAATTTTCATCCAAGAGCCTAAAATTTACTTACAAAACTGTAAGTCCATCTGGAAAGTGTCTGAATAATTTCATCATGTCAGCTGAAGTATTGTGTAATTAGGAATAATGATATTTTATGTGGAAGAGAAAGTAAAAATGTTCTGTGCGATGACAACCATTAAGTAAGACTCAATAGTGTGCAAGTCTTCAAAACAAACCATGGATATACAATTGAGATTAAATATGACACACTTTATCAAAGATAGGTCACACTAGGTAGCTTAATATTTTTCTTTGATAACGTAAACCAAAGACGTTATTTAGGAATTACATTGATGATGAAGGCTTTCATAAAGTGTCATCTCAGGCACATGGTGTGACTCTTGGGAATGTCCCTGTACAGGACCAAGTGCTGGACTTGATGGTCCTTGTGGGTTCTCTCAAAGGCAGCATATTCTGTGATTCTGTGATAAGTGTTTAAGCCTGAAGAGTTAGGAATTGGAACAGGATCTGTGGACTGGGAAGAATGTTAGCTAGAGCAGAGAAGATGATTCAATATTGAAAGAAGAACTGGGGTTACAGGACTGGTCTCTGTAGCAGACTTATGAAGATTGAATCAGCCTTATTTAGTTCTTTCAAGAGAGATGTTGATGCACAAAAATGCACTGAGTGCATAGTCACCTCCCCTTAGGGCAATACTGGAAGAGAACGCGCAGAGGGGTAAGGATGACCTGCAGAATACCTTGTGAACCTGAAAGATGAAGAAAGACGAGAGGCAGGAAAACAGCACAGTAATGATATCGCCCGTCTTCCCCTACATTCCAGGAAGAAGAATTCCATTCCCACGTGCAAACTTTTCCAGTAAAGAATAAAAAAGCATTATGAACAAGCTTGCAATAGAAAACCTTATGACACCAATGTGATACTAGTGTGAAAACAGTAGGCAGTTGGCTCCAAGATACAGTATATTTTGTTCAATAAATGTACTACATACCCTGGAAGTTTAAAAGATTCTGTAAGATGGCTGCCTACAATAAAGGCACCATCTGGGGAAAAAATAAAATTTCCTTACAAACTGGTATTACTACATGAAAGAAAAGATTTTCAAAAGCAGATCAAAAATTTTAGTGGAATCTGGTGGGTGATTAGGCCGTCCAGTTAACTTCCTCTTAATGGTAGGCAGTAAAATAACAACTTTCATAAATATTTGCTCTGGGCACAAAGCTGAACTATTTTTATACCTTAGAGAAACATTTCTAACACCAGAAGTCTCACTTCTTCTGTGTGTGGAAGGTCAAAAACACTGATTAATAATGGCCTTACGTTGACATAGAAGGAGAGTGACTACCAAAACAAGATTTCTTGTTGAAGTGTATTCTGATTGCTATCTTACCACTCTTTTAATGCCCAAAGCATGCCTACCGGCTAAATATTTGACTACCAAAAGAATAGGCTGGTAAGGAAACCTGAATAAAACTGAGATGTTTAGATTCAAAATGTTAATTTGAAGCAAAATGTATAGATCTCCTCTCTCAAAACAGAAATTTAACCTGATATCTCATTCAACCTTCATTTTAGAATAAAAGTGAAGGCTTTAGCAGATGCTTTGTGCAGGCACTGTTTTAAGGTAAAGTGAAAGGGAAGTCACATTATTAATATTTACTTCTTGCTGTGCACTGGAGGGAATCAGAGTAACATAGTTTCAACTAAAATAAACCTTGGATTGATTTCCGTGTAAATTTTTAAACATAGATCATAGCGTGCATTTCTTTGTGTCATCCTCCCAAACCCATCCTTAATGACCAGAGGATTCTTAGGTAAGGCACTGCCAATTCCAGTTACCTCCTTTCCCTCTTCATCCCTCAAATGCTGGGGACAAAAGAGGAGGTCTGAACCATAATTTTAAAGTATGCTAAGTTTGCTTGCACATAGAAACTGACTTTAAGACCTTTGGCAATCAGCCAAGCATGGATTTAGATTTTGTAATTAGTAAGAGCTCTTCAAGGAATAAGGCTGGTATCTTGCTGAACTCAGTGCCCCTGTTCAGTACAAGAGCTTGAAGCAAAGAAATCTGCAAAGGAAGATGGAAGTGATGCTGCAGAATTAAACAATCTTCATTTGAGGTTGAACTGGTGATAGGATGACTGCCTAAGAGGATTTTTAATTTGTACATTCAACCTGTCTGTTTACTAGTAGTGTTAAGTTTTATTTTGCTCCAGCTCAAAAAGTTTCAGAGAAAACTACTGATAGAGATAAAAGGCCTTGTGTTGAAGAGAATTTCTCCAAATAAAAAATCTCAAAGGAAAAGAGAGGAGAGTGAGAAAGTGTTTGTATAGAACCTGAAAGTTATGTTGCAGCTAAAATGGACTCAGGCTGTTAAACTTGAAGTTTGCAGGAAGAACAATATCTCTCTTGAGACTACCAGATAATATATAACCAAAAAAAAAAAAAATTTAAAAAAACCATCCAAACCATATCATTGCACCTAAGGCCTCCAAGTGGAATTTTATCTTTTAGTAACACCTTCTAAAAATCAATACATAGGAACAATTCTCAGTATGAACAGTCTAGTTAAATACAAAGAATGACATAAAATTAAATAGCATCAAGTGATTGAAAATTATTCCTGGCATCAATCAAAAGTTAAGATTCTGGTTTCAGTTGGACTTCGAATGACAGGGACTATCCATACGTCTTATTTTTTAATTTGTATAGGGGGAAAATATCACCCTTGTTGACTACTACTAAGAACTGCATTTAATATGACCATAAAATAAGATGAGTTTTACTTACACCACGGCTTCAAGTGCTCAGGGAGAGACATCCCGCTGTGCTGCCCCGGGGCCCTATCAGGGAGCTCACAGAGCAGGGAGCACTCCTGGACACAAGGGAGCGCTCTGCCGAACCAGCCGGGTCGTTCTCTACCACGGAATAGAAAACTACGGAACTAAAACGGCACTTCAAGTTCCAAGCACAGTTTTCTGGAGAGATAATTTAATTTGTGTCCCTCATCTTCCTATTCCAAGAGAAGTTTAGTTTCTTTTACTCTGGGACACTACTTCAATTGTTGCAGCTCATTATTTTAAAAACAAATGCTTAATGGAAACAAGACATGCCTAAATGTCCCATATCTGCAATTACTGGTTCACAACAGCAAGTAAATGCTGTCCACTGGGGAAGGTAAATATTATCAATAGTAGTAGTAGTAGTAGTAGTAGTAGTAGTAGTAGTAGTAGTAGTAGTAGTAGTGCTAGTAGTGGTAGCAGCAGTTGTAGTAGTATTGTTGTTGCTGTTGTTGGTTTTATATTAATATATTATTATATATTTATCGCTATTATTTCATAATATTAATATCAATATTAATATTAATAATATCAATAATTTTATTATTTTTAACTGAGGCAGAGAAGTGATTGTCATATTGCCTTTTTTTATCCCTGCACCTAAAGTGGTAAGAAAATAGTGGCCTATCAAACACTGATATGTTGTGATATTAGAAATTTGTGATCTGAATTTGTCTTTGGCAGTCTCGAAGACTAGTCAGCAGCTGCAGCAGCAAGGCCTGCAAAAAAAGAGTCACTACTTTAAGTGAATAAGAAGCTGTCATTCCTTTTTTGAGTAACTTTTCCAGATGTTCTGTCATCAGTCTCAGGCTTGTTACAATTAACCTTAATGACTCTTTAAAGTCCCTTTTCTAGATGTGGAGATTTGGGATCAGAGAAGAGAATATTTCACATTACAGCTTCCTCACAGACAGTAAATGGTGTTTCTGCTCAAAATTACCCCAAAACTATTTCTGATCCAGAAGAAAATAGTCATAGATGTTAATTATAGCTCTTACCCTTACCCCTGTTTGTGAAGTGACAGGAAAAATAAGTCTGTCCTGTTAGCTACGGAAGGTAAGATGATGCAAAATGATGGACAATGAAGAACAACGACATGGAAATCAAAGTTCAAACATTGTTCTTGGTAATCAACAAATAGTGGATATCTAGAATGAATGCTGTGAATCTCGATTTCTCATGGTCATGTCCTGTATCATACTCAGGGGTTGCATTTTCTATGATTCTATGATTTTACTTCCCATGGAGCAGGAGGCTCAGCTCTGACATTTGCTTAAATTATGGGAGGCTGGAGACACTTCCCAGGCCCAACTACTTGGTGACCAGTGATTCATCTCCTGTTAGTGTGTAAAGACCCCTCTTCTCTGCCTTCTCTCTTCAGCCTTTATTCAGATGAAGTCCAGCAATACTGAGGCTAGTGGGTCAGACCGCAGGAAAAGGGAGAGTTTGTGGTTCAAACCCGTCATCAGCCTGCAGATCAGAAATCTGCAACAAGTTATTGGTCATTGCAATAATGGAAAGATGGACAGGTGAGAAGAACTTCATAAACAGGAGAGAGAGGAAGACAGTAATTACTTCTGGTTCCTTCAGAGGGAAATTTATCTTTGTGCATGAGATCTGTTTACCATATTTTCAACGGACCTGGGATAGCTGGCATCACCTTACTGAAAGCAGGTCCTATGCACGTGGATAAACTTCACTTATTTGAAGGGAAACTTTCCCTTCTGCAAAATATTTTCATCCAAAGTTTTGACTTGAAAATTTCCATCCAAAGTATGATAATTGAATGCTTTGCTGACCAGTGAAAGGAAAACAAAACAAAACAAATAAAAAGATGAAAAAATGAAGGAAATAAAAAAAGACAATTAAAAAATTAAGAAAGCTTAAGGGATGGGAAGCCATACAGGAAAATGGGAGCTAAAATGTAAATGAATATTTCTTGTTTTAATCAAGTTTTCAGATTACGTTTCAAAAAGGAGTAATGAGTATTTCATTATGGAAATACTTACCTGTCTCTAAAGGCCTGTAGTTTCTTTCCCTCCTGCATGAGCCTTTCTGTTCAAGTAGCTCTTTCTCTGTCACTCTAGCACAGCATTATTTTCAGGATAGCAAAAAATCCTGTTTATTTTTTGATAATCATGTGTATTATGCAAAAATAATGTGCTTTGCCTTCTAATAACTTTCTCAAAAGCTCCAAAACCAAACTGAAAAAACAACCTTTTCTTATCACCCCTTTCTGCAGGCAATAGTCTCTCCTACAACCCAGGAGGAGGTAGGCAGGCAGTGTGGTACTAGGTGCTCATGGGTCTTCCCCAGGAGCTGGATGTAGCAACCAGCGCAGCTATTTTGTCCGAGGGTGCTTTCAGGGCCAGGGACTCTCCAGACCCTCTACGTCTCATTGTAAGCCTACCATAAATGAGTGAATCACCTTCAGCCCTTGTGCTCCAGCACTTCTCAGCACAGTTTCTGGTTTCTCAATCACCTTGTGTTGCTTTTCCAGACAGAAAAGCAAATGGAAGTTCTCAAATAACACTGTGTTGATGTTCTAGGCATGCAGAATCTGGAGGAGAAGAGGGAAATTTTAATCATCTGTCAGCAGAGTTTGGTGACATTGAATTCACACTTGTGATAGTCCCCGAGAGATGAGCACATGATAGATGGTTTGTGTAGACATGGCTCCTTCAACACCTGGGAGAGTGAGACCAAGAAACCGGATAAAGGGGTGAGATAATGACTGTAGCTCTGGTTCCTCCGTAGGAACAAGGCTCTGGAAGGACATCTGGGACACTATAAAAATACGCATTGAGGTATTGCATGTTTTTCTGGACTTCCACTTACTTCAGAGAAAAGGGTCCACAGACCAAAGATTGTATTTTAAAAATAAAACAGAATTTCATAGTAGCACTTTGTGACCAAGAAAGCCAAATGCTTGCTTGACTATTAGCTTGACATCACCAAGTATTTGTAAGTGAATAGATACTTCCCTAAAGATTCAGGTTTTTGAATTACTTCATCGTTGTATAAGGATTATGCCATTAATGTCTAACTCAAAAAGACTTTCCTTATGTCTAAACAGCATGTAGAACTAGCTTGTAAAACCTCCACATTTCTCTATCCCAGGCTATTTATGGGCACTGACCATATGTCTGGACATCTTCATGAAGCACAGAGAGTAACTTCCTTACAAATCAGAAAGAAAACTTAGATTTCTAAAAGGTTAGAATTTGTGTTGACACATTCTTCACCTATGGCTAAGCATGGTGTTCTTCCATCTAAAATCAGTGCTTTCAGACAACACCTTCCTAGATATGGGTTATCAGAGGAACAAGCATAGGACAAAGCAGACCATCTAAGGGAAAGGTTGGTGCCAGGAGATCCACCGAGAACTGCAGGTAGGATTATCTTGAAGTTGGCAAAAGTAGGCTTGAAAGGTCTCACTGTATTTAAGACTTTACAGATCAAACCGGAGACACTTGGAAAAATTTATATCTGTGGTGATAACAATTATCTGGCTGCAATTAACCTGAGCCTGAAGTCAAACCTGGTCTTTAGTCTTAGTCACCTCCTGAGGCAGCAATTTGGCTCTTCTCCCAAGGCAGACAAAGCTTAATTAGGATCAGGAAACATCCGGATAGGAGATTCAGGCTACAGTCTCTGCTAGGTAAGTGCTGTCATCAGAGGCTATTAATGTTTTTACTTGCTTAACTAAAGCAAGCTATAGATTAAGCATTTCAAGACAGTAGAAGTATATCAGCTGTAGTTAGAGGGTTGGGCTTTGGAGGGCCTTCCTAGAAGTTTAATGCTCACAGTGGCTTCTGTTAACTACATAATTCTACTTTAGGCCATGCAAGCACCAGCAGCTAAGGCAAAGCAGTGGGGTGATATCACAGTGCATGAATATGTAATTGCAGATTACTGTTGATGGTCTAAATCTAGCTGGGTTAGATCTGCTCGGAGGTATGGGAGTGGACGCTGGAAGGGGACTCCAAGAAATGAGGATTACTTTCCTGAGCTGTATTAGAGACTTACTGGAGACTTCAGTAATTGTGCACAATATTATAACTGGTTTGGAAGGCTTCATCCAGGTCTTACCTTATTTTATAGAAAGTGGGGGGTTAAAATTAATTATAGTATTGGGATTGATATTTGTCCCATGGTTTGAGGGCCCCAAAATCCAATTCTCGAGTTCAAGCCCCTGTTGGAGGAGATGAAACAGAATGGCAAAGATATGAAGCATGGAGAAGGATCTATAACCCATAAATGGACACTTGTATACTGAACTGGACTCTTTCATACCGGATGTGACACCTCATGGACTTGACAGTTTTACCCCAGTTCTCCCCAGTTCATTGTTGTATTGTTATATTGTGATGTATACCCCCAGTTGTTGTTTTTAAAATCACCCTCCATATTGTCTTCTTCTTCCCCTCACAGTTTTCCCGCCTTTTCCCTGTTTTCCCGCTCCTCTGCCTGCCATTGGTTAGTATTTGGTGCAGTGCAGAGGTAGCTGTCATTGGCCCATTCCTCCAGTTACACCCAAACTCCTCCCCTCCTTACCCAGTTGCCCAATCACCTTCATCCCTGAGTTGTCAGTCCTATGCTCCTCCCTAACCCAAACTCCACCCCTAAACCTACCCTATATAAGTTACTGTTTCCCCAATAAAGTTTGGCATTGCTCCTCGACCTCTACTGTGTGAAAACCCTGATTTGCAGTGCCCGATCCTATTCCTTTCCCCGCGGGTCGTGGCAAGCCCCCCTCCCTCATCTCAACCCAGTGTGAGATGGGTTTTCCAGACACCATATAAAACTAAAAATGGGGGGAAAGGGTTATATATTACAATGACTGTACAAATATATATTACAATACATTACACACACAATCTCAACTATCTCTACCATGACAAAATAGTATTGACAATGGATCAAATCTCTTCTCCCTTCCAAATAAAAGTCCAGGAGGGAAGAAGGAAGAGATCCTTTCCACTTTCAGAGCAGCGGTGTCTCTAGGGCAGCAGTCTATCTCTCTCTCTCTCCAGGGCAGCAGTATATCTCACTTCATGCAGCAGTTGTAGCTGAATCTCTGCCAGTACACACGAGGGGGTATCCAAGTCCTCATGGCCCTTCAACTCCAAGCGAGGGTCTTATCTTCCGTGGGCTGCATTCACCTGGACAAAGGTCGCTTCACCACATCATGTCAACGAAACACAGAAGCCTTCATGACGGTCCGTATCTTCAGGGGATTCAAGCCCCCTTTGCAGAGCTCCGTGCTCTGTTTCAAAGCAGCGGGGGGGCGAAAGCCCTCCTCTGCATTCCTTTGGCCATCCTGGTCTAACTTTCCAGGACGCCTGAGCTTTTCAGCTCCTCTCTGCAGTGCATGCTGCATCTTAGGACTTCCATTCAGTAGGAGTCCATCCTCTCCACTTAGGAGAGGTCACAAAAGGAGTTTCGGGGTTTTGGTTCAGTTCTTACCCCAAACTCTGTCTCTGTAGAGCTTAGTTCTGCTCTCTCTGCTTAGTTCTGGCTCTCTTTCTCTTCAGACAACTCTGTGTCTCTCATCCTTGGCTGCAATGCCTCTGCTGCTTCTCTCTTATCTCTTGGCTCTCTGCCCTCCGTACGCTGCTCCTGCCACTGCTCCTGCTGCTTCTTACATTAGAGAAACTCCTTCAGCTCTCAGCCACAGGTACTTAGCCCAGCCTTACGCTGTTCCAAGTCCCTGTAGCCCCCCAGCCAGGGCTGGGGGGGGGGGCAGAGCCCCACAGGGGGGCTCCTGCCCTTTCTCCTCGTGGCTTCACAACATGGCTACTCCTTCAACAACAACTACCACTACTTTCTTTTCCGGTCTAAGTGTGATATGTTTATATTTTGCAGAAGCACTCATTGGCTCAAACCCCAAGGGTCACCACCCCCTGGGGTTTTACCATTTTATAACTTCAGGGGAAAAACTGTTTTCCCCCCACCATAACTGGTTTGGAAGGCTTCATCCAGGTCTTACCTTATTTTATAGAATGTGGGGGGGTTAAATTAATTATAGTATTGGGATTGATATTTGTTCTGGCAGGGGAGAAAAGCAGAAAGAACAACGTTTTTGAAGAGAAGAGTTTTCAAGACTACATTTTTATTTAGTGAAGGTAGTGGGGAAGGGTACGTGACTCAGATCATCAAGAGGTATTTAAATATAGGTCGCTGTGGTCCTGACTGGGATTGCTGAGTATATGTTAAAGTGGATGCCTTTAAGGGATGTTTTGTAGAAAGGTGTGTGCTAGGATATAGATAATGTCAGAAACAGATTTGTTAATCTGGATTAAGGTTGCTTGTTCAAAGAGAAAATACTACAAATCAATATGAAAATAAATAAATCAAATTATAAAAGCCATACTGGTGTACTAAGAGATTAGGTCTCGAACGAGCAAGGACTGAACTGTTGTTTTGGTAGCTAGAATTTGGGTTAGTAGAATTTGGTTTAGCAGATGAAAACATCCCACAGGCTGAATTTACATTTTGTGTCTGGCTTCAGAGCAAATGATACTGCAAGACTCATGTACTAAATGGCACATAGAATGTCTGAGAGTGGTTTAGGCCTGACTATTGGAGGACCATCAGTCAAGGACCGGGGTTTGGATGAACATGCAAAACTGTATTGGTGAGGTCACTGGGACAGATCCACAGATTATTCTTGTTGAACTTGTCAGTTGGATGGGGGCGCAGAGCCACAAGGATGGGACTGATCCTTTGAGGTTGGAGGTGTGCTGCATGCTTACATATGCTTGAAATAGATCTCCACTTCCCACAAAACCAAAAAGCATCACTAACAGAGAATGATATTTTGTTTGACCTTAAAGGACACTGGTGTTTGCCATTAGTTTGTTTATACTTAGTAAGGGTGTGCTTTGCCTATCTGGACAGGAAATAAATCAGCATAGAACTTTTTTTATTTTTTTTTTTTTTGTCCCTCAATCCCTACTCATAAGTGTTAAAGTTACTGTTAAAAGATGATAAAGACTATTGATATCACTGTGTTTGTTTCAGGTTAAATATTTTCCAGGGAACTGGGAAGGGATGGAAGCAATTCAGGACACTTAAAATAATGAGTTATTTCCTCTCCTTATAGCACTTAAAGTAATTGTCTTGGGGGAGGGTGAAGACTCATTCCTGGCAGTAATTGAATGTGTTCTCTTCATTTTATTCTTTTCAAAAATATCAACATTGTCTGTACTAACTGACTTTTCTGCACCTGACAACTTTGATAACACTGTTCACTTCCCATAATAAATAGGATCAGCCTTCAGCACCACTTTCGTTGACATTTATCTTGTGGCACTCTTTTTTCTAATCAGTGCAAGGGCAAACACAGACCTTACTGCATTTGTGACAGATCTTGAGCCTGACTGTATAGCTGCTATTGCTGTGAATAAACATCTGTCCCCTTTATCTAATAAGCAAACAGTAGTTGACATCAAGTGGTGTGCTAAGGAAAAAGAGCGGAAGGGTTGCATGACATCTTTAAGATGTCAAAAGTAAATCTTTCCACAGCAAGGTAGAAAGTAGGACAGCAATATGACCAGCTCTTCATGTACTTCCTGACCTCCCATGATCTGGGGACAATGAGAGGCCCTGTGCTTCAAATAATGAGTGTGGCATCTTTGCTAGGAGAGCCTACAAGATTCATGCCAGTTCTGGGGTTGAGTTGCTGTCATTTCCCTGGGAGGCTCTACGTGCAAAACTTAGAACTGGCTCAAAAGCTAGTAATATGCTCCCAACAAGAGTACCTTTGTCCTACTTCAGAAGACAGAACCTGTCTGCTATTGTCTTGAAATTTCCAAAGAAAGAAGGTTTGTCTTCACAGCAAGCCAATTCACAGTTGATAGCAACAGCGAGTTGATACTTCCTATGAAATCTTGAGAATCCAAGAAATTATTTTGCTTGTGTACTAAAACAAATCTTCTACAAGGCCAGGTTGGATGGGGCTTTGAGCAAGCTCATCTAGTGGAAGGTCTCCCTGCTCATGGCAGGAGGGCTGGAACTAGAGGATCTTTTAAGTCACTTTCAACCCTAACCATTCTGTAAGTCTATGAATCCATGAACTGAACTTATAAAATACCAGAATCCAGAGGATTTAACAAATAAAAGAACCTAATATCTTGTCTCAAAAATCTATCAGCTTCATTCACTTACATTTCTAATGAAAGGAGGGAAACACCACTGTACTTGAATTAAAAATAATAGTTCTTCCATAGAAATTTTTTGAGACTGGAAAGTAACCACACCTTTAGAACCTGTACAAATTGAGTGGTGCTGTCAAAAGCATTTTGGGCCTTTTCAAGCTTCCTTCCACCATCTACCCATCAACCTTCCCACAGTGGATGGAAATAGGAATGTTTTAGATGGAAATTTGACCTGTAAACCAGTTTCTTGATGATGTCCCAGAAAACAGAAATTCTTCTTAGTGAAATTAAATATGGAACAGAAATGACTCTCAAACTTTCCAGCTATTCCCTCAGAACCATGACCTGGCAAGAACAATCAGAGGTTCTGAGGATGGAAGATCAATGACAAGTGTAGAGATCTGTTGAGCTGCACTGCATGACTGCATGGAGGCACTCCAGAGGAAGGCTTAAGTGGCAGAAGGAAGTACTGTTGCAAGTGATCAGCAATTTCCTGGGG